AGGTGGAGAAGGACTGGCGTTTGAATTTACCCAAGATCAATTTAGTAGACCCTTCGTTACCAATGTTCGGGTTCGAATCATGTTGAGGGTGCACACGAGACGATTTGGCGATGTTGGATTTGCAGTTTAGGCATGACTTTCAAAGTTCATTGGTTCCGTATGGCCTAGTTATGTCATTTTGGGAATTTGAGTGCAACAGTTTTTCCTTAATTTATCTGATTTAACTCGACTACAGCTCTCGTTGACTTCACTTCTGTTTTAGTTAATAGTAGACGATTAAAACAAGTAGTTGGGTCTTCGGGTTGGTTGGAGAAATGTTGTCTGCCTTCCCAAGTTACTTCTATGAATTACAATTCGTGGCTCGAATTCACATACACTGACCAATTTTAAGGCTCAACCAGACGAGCTATCATTAGCCCGATTGCTCTGCATGTGTTCTAGCGAACAATAGTTTCGCATTTGACTGTAACTAAATATCCGATTACTATGGACTAGGTAGTGCGCTTGATTATTGCATTTCAGTCGGTTACAAAATTCCCTTATAAACGGATACGTTTCTATAAAAAACGGCAATCGACTCGTTCATGTATGATGATATATGCTTCGATGGAAAGTACCAACTTTTCTGGTGCCTTCTTGAAACGACTTTTCAGCCCAAATCTTCTGACCGGAAGCCTAGTCCACACTTAACCTCACATCCCTTATTCAGCAGTCTCAAGCCCCAAGGATTTTATCGGTCCGTCTCGATAGCGTCGCTCGTGCCGGCGACAGTATCGGCTCGGCGGGATGTGAGTTGACCAAAACACGGTATCAGTGTTTATTCAAACGCCCTGTATTTACATTCATGCTGCTTGATTTTCTCTCCTCTTTGAAATCATCATGAGACAAGAAAGCAAGATTGTGTACATCAATGCAATGAGAGGAGGAAGGGCTTCTGAAGTTTGTGGGATCTAGAAAAAAAGGTAACTGGGACTCATATTCACCCTGAGGAACAGTTGCATAGATGGGTTTGATAGGCGTGGGAATCTATTGAATTTGCCACTATAGTAAACGAAACCAAACGGGTTTGCCCATGTTTCTGTCTCGTCGGTGCAAGGGATAGAGCAAAAAGGATGTTCACTTTTGGCCCTGATTATCACGAGGACGAGAGTGAAGTCCAAATGAATCACAAAGACTGGACACTTGCGAGTTCTATTTCACGACATTTGCTTCTCTGGCTCTTCTTCTCTTGGCGCCTCTTCGTCTTTCTCCTCCTCCTCGTTGGAGGCATGACCGGGCCGGCTAATCTGTGATGGATGCACCAGGGAGGAGTCGAACTGGCGGTAGCGGATTGCGATGAAGAAGATGGGGAAGATGACCAAAACGGTCATGATGAGAAAGACGATGATGGGAAGGAAGGTGAACGAGCCTCCGATGAAGGGGCCGAAGAGGAAGGCGATGTTGGTGACGGTGCGGAAGATCGACTGTGCTCGGTCCATGTCACTGAGGTCGTTGAACTTTGTGTACAGCGACTCGGGGCAGGCGACGACGAAGGGCATTCCGATGACGTGGATGGCCACGCCGGTCAGCGTCACCGAGACGGCGATTAGTTCCGACGCGCTGGCCACCACCTCAACGACGACGGAGAGCATCACGTAGGAGATGAGGAGGGTGATGAGGCCGGCCACGATGAGGTGGCGGTCTTCGATGCAGTTTGTCATGCATCGCAGCACAAGATAGACGAAGATGACCAGAATACTGGCGCCCAGGTAGACATAGCTCACCTTCATCTCGGTCCAGTTAAAGAGTTTGTTGGCGAGCGGCGGCAGAGCCGACTCGAGCGCCATCAGACAGAAATAGGCGACGAAAGCGATCGCGAGAAGCACCACAATCCGGTACTCCAGATAGGGCTTCAGTTGCTGCAAGCTGATCCGCCAACCGGCTGTCGTCGCCGTCGCCTTCGCCTTCGCCTTCGCCTTCGCCGTCGTCGTCGTCGTCGTCGTGGTCTCCTCCTCTTTCAGTGCGCCGTCCTCGACGACCGCCTCGTCCGGCGCCAGCAGACGAGCCCGAGTGCGTTGGCGCTCCACCGGCGTGGAGCCCATCACCAGACGTCGACGCAGACAGACGCAACAGGCAGCCTCGTCTTCGTTGTTGTTGTTGTTGTTGTCGTCGTCGTCCATGTCGGCGTCGCCGAGGCTGGAGGAAAAGGTGACTGGTTCGCCGTTCTTGTCGAGGTTGGGGTAGAGGGCGAGGGCGACGAGGCTGTGCAGGGCCCAGGAGACGGCCATGAGGAGGCCGGGCCCGTTGTTCACGTCGAGCCGGAACTCTCCCCACACGGCGTTGAGGCCGTGCATCATGAGGGTACATGCGGGCCCGAAGATGAGTCCAACCTGTTTGGTGAGCAGCATGGCGATGAGGTAGGGCGTTCGCTCCTCTTTGCTCGTCAGGCGGGTCAGGTCGGCGTACAGCGGCGGCTCGCAACCGGCTCCGAGGCCGGCGACGAATCGACCCGTCAACACGAGCCATGGCGACGGCGCGAACAGGTAGAGCAGGTTGCCGATCACCTCCATCTGGTTGGCGGCCAGAAGGAGCACTTTGACGCGGAGGCCGTGGTGTGCTGCCAGGCCGTAGACCGGGGTGCTGACGAGCACGGCCAGGCCGAACGCCGTCATGCTGAGGCCGTAGAAGTGTTGCGAGGCCGACTCGCCCCAGCGCGTCTTCAGGTAGAGAAAGAGTGTGGGCACAATCACAGCCCGCTCCACGTTGGTGAGGAAGCCCCAGACGGCCAGAGTGACCGACAGTCTCAACTTACTCGAGCCCAACACGCGCCAGCCTCGCGCCAGCCGCCGTCGACAGCCGCGCTCGCGCCGACCATGCCTCGAACTAGCCCTCTCCCTCTCCCTCTCCCTCTCCCTCTCCCTCGCCGTCGCCGTCGCCGTCGCCGTGGTTTCCGTCTCGCGCAGGGCCAGACTGGCGACGTCGCGCAGCGAGCCGTTCATGTGGCCCGCCTTCTCCGCCGGCTTCAGATGCGTCCTCTCCGTCTGCTGCTGTGCCAGCCCAGACGCCGGATCCCGCATCCTTTTATACCGCCCGGGCCTCAGCTCGCCTATTCCTCTTCTCCTCCTCTCAGTGCCTTTGTGTGTGTGTCTGCGGGTGTTTGTGTGTGCCGGTGTGCGGGTGTGCGGGTGTCTGTCTGTTGGTCTGTTTGAGAGGAAGTGAGTGTTGTCTGAGACACAAGGGACAACGGAATCCGGAGGCGGTCTGCTCAAATCTCAGGTATCACGACGAGAGCCTACCTGTCTGTCTATCCGGCTGTCCGGCTGTCCGGCTGGGTGGGCGTCTAGCAGAGCATATGAGAGGTCGGTCTGGACGGCCGGACGTGGTGCCTCGACCTCTGACACGCTGCCCAGCCGACATCGTGTCGCGCCAGCTCGGTTGCTACGCGTCGGCCGACAAAAGGAAACTGACGAAGCAGACGAAAGAGACCAACCAAGTGGACGAAGCAGACGGACAAAAGAAGCGGCAGTGTCGGCTGCCACAACAACGTTGTGCAAGTCGGGCAGATCAATACGATCGGGTGTCGCCCTACCCTACAGCGTCAAGGCGACCGAAAAAGGGTGTGCAGCCGAGGCAGAGACACATGCATTTTCGTAGCGCCTACGGTCTTCGTCATCACGTCAGTTTCACGCAATGCGTGCGCACAGTTGAGGCTTGATTGGAGGGTCTACACAACCAATTGATACATCCCCCTTGAAGAAAGTTTCCAAAAAAGACGAAATGATGCAAAGCAAACAAGTGAGTGTGTGCATTGTGTGTGCATTGTGTACACTCGCCTGACTACACCAATTGCCGTCGTCAAGCCGAGACGAGATCGATTTTTCGCCTGAAATCCACCAATTGTACGTCGCTTGGACTTGGGATAAATCTATTCTCTGAAGTTAAGCTTGTCCGAGCCAGGCAGGCCGGACGACAGAGTGCAGATGGGTCGAATAGTGCAAAGTTCCAGTTCGCGGAAGGCATCACACATCGATACAGCACACTGTCTGGCAGATGCTGGTCTCGCCGAGGCGATCTTGTCGTCGGGACGTTGCGGACAGCTTCGTCATCCCCACGGGAAAATATCAAGCACGCTCATCCACCTCACCATGACGACCGAAATTATTCGGCTGACTGTCGTTTTATGTGAAAACATAAGTGTTTTGTGTGTGTGCCTGTGTTTGTGTGTGATGGAGTGATGTATAAGTCAATCTCCATTATTGACGTACAGTTCGTCTTTTCATGCATCGCTCAGGCTGACGTAATAGTCGGGTCAAACACTCATCGGAAATAGACTTTAATTGCATAATTAGATGTTGACTGAAAGCTGTAGACACCTCAGGTCGCATGAGTGACAGTTGAGTTTTACCACAACCTGGTGAGTAGATCTCTTGTCCACCCTCGGCCCAGTTGCCCAAACGTAGGCCTCATCCTGACCTGAATGGACTACAGTTTCCAACTCGCCTGAACCTGAGTCATCAACCCTACCAACGCAAGTCGAGCAGGGGTAGTGTGAGGTGTACAGATTCGACATCAGGAATATAACTAGCCTCCTCAAGGGTAACGACAAAATAGACGTTTATACTAGATGCGTTTTTCCTATTTCGTTTAGGGTGATGAAAGATTGCCAGTTAACTTTTCCCACAATGATATGAGAAGACTGGAACTTTCCATTTATTTTCACATAGCCATGCTTTCCCAAAAATGATTGAAGTTTCGACCTTAATCGCTACCCCACATTGTCATGAGTACCCTTGGGTGCCAGGGCAGTTGTAAAGACAATTTTTCGTATAACAAAGTTGTATTTGCAAATATAAGTTTACTTCATCGACAATCCCATCACAGAATATTATGTAGGAAAAAATGCCTAGTCTTCCTTGAAATCCACATATGTCCTGTAACGCAAGGGCACTCGTGACAATGTGGATTAGTTGTTAACCTGTCGAGTTTATACATTCCACTGTTAAGTTTTGAGCTCAGCCGGGGTTGTTGATAAGGCCTAGTTAAGGTCAAAACTATAGTCCCCTCCACCTTGTATAATAATACCTTTTGGAAAGCAAGACTATCTGGAATTCAATGGGGACGTCGTGGGAAAATTCTAATACTAGTCCTTCATGACCTTAAACGGAATAGTCTAAATATATCTCATATATATGATTTACTGGTAGTCTTGAAAACCTACTAAAAACGAAAAGATAGACGTTCTTATAAATATTAAACAGATTTTGAGAATATTGGTATTATCCAAGCCTACTTAAAACGAATATAAGTAATACTAAATGTGCTATATACGAGGCTGGGTCTGTCTTGCAGGTCACGTCTATCCTATTACCCACTGGCGAGAGTAGCAGTTTGGCTAAATGGTAGCAAGTCGAACGAAAACTCGTGTTCGGTTCCTGCTGAGATCAGTTCAGATGAGGCAAAAATTCTAGCCCAACCTGTAGGGTTCAACTATCCGAGGAGGAAAGGAATGAATCTATTGCGCTAAGCTTTCTTCTTTCATGCCATTTGATAGGCAGAATCAATGCTGAAGTCCCCTCTTAAAAGGACTCTTTAATAAAAGTCAGCCAGATCACTATATGTATGCATATGCTTATGTATGTATGTATGTAATGTATATGAATACGAAGAATCACTGTGTTTCGGTTAATCTCCTGAGACAACATTGTTGGGACTACTTTCATTTCGTATGAAAGTGTCTGAACAAGAAATTCGAGGGTAGATTGCTCTCGAAGACGACGACTGATATCCGCTGTGGCTTCAATACGACGTTCAGGTTGACGAAATCCACTATACATCCTCCCTAGTTTCGAGTGAACCCGCGTTAAGCTTGCGTTTATCATATGCTGGACAACATCGGAGCTGTAACACATTCTTGTAGAAGTCACACTTTAAAAATAGGTTAAAAAGACTGTCCGTCTCTATCTGAACTCTTATATCTACACATAACTAAAAAACGAAAATATATAGTCATATATATACAATGGTTTGGCTAAGTATCTTTCATATTGGCCGTGGTACTTTTAGTTGAGTGTGTGCGTGTGCTTGTGTGTGTATGCGCACACATTAACGTCTATACGCAAATTCGATCCTAAAGCATAATGCTCGAAGGTGTCCTAATAAATACGAAGAATAACTGGGTTTCGATGAATCTCCTGCACTAACAGTGTTAGGAAGACCTTTATTTCGTATGGATGTGCATAATGAGATCAACCTATGAATCTCTTTTTCATGCACCTTCATACAGAATGAAGGTCATTCCAATAATGTCGTAATAAGATCAAATGGCTGCAGTACAACGGGAATCAGCCGATGTCTTCTGATGAGATCGACCTTCGAATCTCTTTTTCTTGATGTTCCTACAAAATGGAAGTCTCACTAACGATGTATTGTGTATGGCTGAGGGTGCAAGATCATTGTTATCGTTTTAGGCTATCAAGAGTCTGCGTAACATCCGGCCTAAATCAAGAATATTGGTGTATTTTGACTTAATCAAACGCATCGCTTGGTTAACGAGGTTCCGGTATGAAATCAGTTGTGAAGACAGTGTGCTTATAAGTAGAACATTACCAAGACAACCCTCTTAATCCATCACTTATGCACAAATTGTATTCATCCGCGTACCGAGTATTTTCCAAGAACAGTAGTGGAACTTGCACAACAGTCCAGCCGACTCCATTCACACGAGAAGATGCAAAAGGGTTAGGTGAATTTTACCTTGACAAAATGATGATTTCGAATTCTGTTCGGCGTGCTAATGAAATGATGAGACAACATTTCGGAAGGTAAGACCAAGTGAACTCATAAGGCAGCGTAAGGCTTACTGCTTGAAATGTGAACAAATTCCACTATCGGTCCTTCCATTAGCTTATCCGACCTAAGTTAAGCAACGATTTTATCAAAGAATTAGTGATAGTCCTGGAAATGGCAGACATTCTAAATCGCAGTAACAAGTGTGGAAAATCAAACAAGAACTATCTCTGATTATGGGATAGTATTGGGGAGAAATGGGAGGAAGTATCCTTAATTGAGAGAGAGTCTTGATCTTGGAGAGAGCTCTGCATGCCAACCTGATTAAACCAATCGAATACTTGTCTCATCATAAAGTTTAGCATTTACATTTCATCCTATAGTTGGTGTCTGGTCGGAAGCGCTTTTTTCTTAGCTTTTACCCACTCTATCTTCTGTATCCCGCATGGTTCTCATATGGTCATCACTCGCCCTTCAACTCGAATTCACACGCTCCCTAGAGGCGACTCGTCAAAGAGACAAGTTGTAATATGGTGCTACGGATGGCGAGAATCACTGACGATGCCGGCGAAACGTCTGGGAATGTACCACCTCCACGGTCCGACTTTGGAAATGATCATGCATACAATGGACTCCGGACTAGGTGCGTTCCTATAAGTCTTCCTACCAATATGACCGAGTTGCGAAAACAAAGTCAAGCAACTTCTATACAACGAAAGGAGACTGCGACCACACAAAAGGCCACATCATCTTGGTCTTCATACCTTTGGCATTTGTACTTGGAAATAGAGTCTTCTCAAAATAAAATTCGTTTGTGGGATTTTGTTTAACTAGTTTACCCATGAAGTTATAGTAAGCGGGAAGACAATGTACAAATGACACTTACATTTTTAACTTAAATCTAGCAACCGGGCGATAGGAAAGAGGGGCCTTGGAATAATTTATGGAATATCATATGAAATAGCTTGCATTACCTTGCTTAATGTCAATATGGGCTTGAGAATATTTCCCTGATTACACATGTCTCAAGCATAGCGCTGTTTCGGATAAATTCATAACTATTTTTCTCATCGCCCATGTTTTAAGCACCATGACTTCATTCGGGTAGTCTGAGGTTTAATAACCTAAAGTCACCACCACTTATCTGTCATATTGGCAATGCTTTTTTCTCAACTACACAATATATAAACGGACAACTATTTTTTATTGGCGGCTTTTTAAGCGCACCTTTAATTTTAAAATCTCATATATATATGAGACCCAAAGCATATTGCTTTTACCCGTTTTCTGCT